GCTGCTGCTGGGAGCATGGACTCGAAGGGGCTCTTGCTGCCTGCTGCTGCTGCTGCTGCTGCTGCTGGCAGCAAGACCTCCAAAGGACTCCTGCTGCCTGCTGCTGCTGCTGCTGCTGCTGGGCTCCGCAGCAAACGAGGTGACCTTCTTATCCCAAGAGCGTCGGTTTTGTGAGGCGAGCAGCTACGAGAGCTGCTGCCTGCTGCTGCTGCCGCTGCTGCTGCTGTTTTGCTCGAAGGCGCAGAAGAAGGGCTGCTTCTGGTGTGGATATCTGCTGCCGTTGCAGTTGCTGCTGCAGCTGCCGCTTCCCCTGTAGCTCCTGCTGCATCTCCGGGTAAGCAGCATGGAGAGGAAGGTAGGCTGCTGCAGCTTGCTGCTTCTGCTGCTGCTGCTGCTGCTGCCCTTGATGCCGGCGCAGCAGGCAAAAAAGCCTGTGAGTTTCTGCTTCCGATGCTGCTGCTGCTGCTGCTTTTGCTGCAGCTGCTGGCACAGTCTGCTGCTGCTGCTGCATCGAGCAGCATGCCGTAGGGGCTATGGATGCTGCTGCTGTTTGCTTCTTCTGCTGCTGCTGCTGGGCCTGCGAGCCACATGCAGCTTGGACTGCTGCAGTCTGATGCTGCTGCTGCTGCTGCTGGCTGCAGCAGCTCATTGTTGCTCTTGTTGCTGCTGTCGGTCCAGCTGCTGCAGTTCGAGGCCTCGATAGCAGCGCCGGGGTCCCATGTATCTGCAGCAGCAGCAGCAGCAGCAGCACAAGCAGGAACTTTGTATTGATTCTCGCTGTCAGGAGATGCTGCAGCAATAAGCCCTTGGGCCCCTTGATGCTGCACTCGCTGCTGATCTTGCTGCTGCAGCTGCTGCTGCAGATGCAGCTCGTGCTGCCGCTGCTGAACTGGTTCGTGCCTCAGTAGCAGCTGCTGCTCTGCAGCACGGTCCTCAGTCATCTGCTGCTGCTGCTGCTGCTGCTGCTCGTGCTGCTGCTGCTGCTGGACTTCATTGTGTGTTTGTCCCTGCTGCTGCTTCTGCAGCAGCACCTGCTGCAGCAGCTGCTGCTGAGGAAGCTCCTCCTGCTGCTGCATTGCATGCTGCGGATGTGTGCCTCAGCTGTCGGCTGGACCATGCCGCAGCGAGCTCCAAACCTTAAACCCTAAACCCTAAACCCTAATATAGGGCCAAATGTCTTTGCTGCTGCCCCTTTAATAAATCTTTAAAAGCAGCAAGCAAAGAAGTAAAGAAATAAAAGCTACAAAACAAAGTGGCAGCTGGAGCAGGTGGAGCGGCCTCACGAGGGACCCTAAACCCTAAAGCCTAAACCCTAAACCCTAAACCCTAAACCCTAAACCCTAAAAATCAGGAGCAGCATCTTCTTCAGACGCTCCCGTAGAACTAAGAAAAAAGCAACATTGTGCTGCCCAGCCCTGCTAAGGCTCAGATGTGTAGGGCTAGCTGTCCAGGGTTTAGGGTTTAGGGTTTAGGGTTTAGGGTCTTTGGCCCCAAGTCGTCGCCGCATATTCTTCGCTGATTGTTTTAAACTTTAACTTTAAAACATGAATTTGCTGTGTCCTCTTGAAGGACGTCGCAGAGAACCCTAAACCCTAAACCCCAAACCCTAGGTGACTGGGAGGGGTTTATCAAAGAAACGTATTTCACTCGATTCCTGCGCGCCTTCGTGGTTTAGGGCTTATTGTTTTGCGCTAAAATAGCGTTTCAAATAAATTCGAAGGGTTTAGGGTCTAGGGTCTAGGGTTTAGGGTTTAGGGTTTGGGGTTTACGGGGCCGCTGGCTCTGCTGCCCGCCTCTCTTCCCTGCTGCTCCGCCAGACTCGAGACAAAGGTTTGGATCATTTATTTCATTTTATTTTTTTTCGATTATTTTTAAATTCATTTCTTTTTTATTTTTCATCTGTTCATTCTTTATTTCGCAGCTCCAGCAAGACACGAACGGTTTCGAAGCTGCTACTGCAGTTGGACACAACAAAAGCGAAAAAATAAATTGAAACGAGGTTTATGTCGGAACCCTAAACCCTAAACCCTAAACCCTAAACTTCCATGTAGGGCCGGAACAGTTGCCCCAAACCCTAAACCCTCACGGGGCACTGCAGCATCTGCGTAAACCCTAAACCCTAGATCCTCTTGGGGTTGTGGAGTATTTGTCTTAAACCCTATACCCTGAAACCCTAAACCCTAAACCCTTACGCGGCACTGCTGCGCCAGCCTCTTCACTGGAAGCTCGCCAAACCCTAGTCGCTAAACCCTAAACCCTAAACCCTAGGCCGTGAGCTGCCGAGGCCTCAAACCCCACAAAGACACAGCAGCAAAAGCACCGCTGGCTCTAAACCTCTAAATCGAGGGTTTAGGGTTTAGGGTTTGGAGGCCCCCGTTTCGTCGTTTCAGTGCTTCATCTGAAGCATGTTGATAATTACAAAACACAAAAAAGGGTTTGCAGGTGTGTCCAAGGTCTAAGGGTTTGCAGCAGTGAGCAGCAGCAGCAGCTGCTGCTGCTGCTGCTGCTCCTTTTACTTGGTGCTGCTGCTGTTGCTGCCGCTGCCTCTAGTGCTGCTTCTGCTGCTCTTGCTGCTGGTGCTGCTTCTGCTGCTGTCCCTAACGCTAAATCTATTGCTGCTGCTGCTGGCTGCTGCTGCAGCTCTTGTTACTTGCTGGTGCTGCTGCTGCTGCTGCTGGCTGCTGCTGCAGCTCTTGCTACTTGCTGCTGCTGCTCTAGTGAAGGCCTCACTTCGACCTAAAACTAAACCCTCAAACCCTAGCTGCCAATTACGCCTTCCGCAAACCCTAAATCCTCTCCAAACCCTAAACCTTAAACCCTCTCTAAACTCCAAACCCTCTCTAAACCCTAAAACCTCGGTCAACTCTAAACCCTCGAAAAAAACAGCTGAAGCAGTGCCCCAACGGGGGCCCCACAGCCCCGCAGAAAGCAAGGGTCCACTAGGGTTTAGGGTTTAGGGTTTGCATCAAAAAACTCATTTCAGCATATCAAATATCTGCTGCAGCACCTTTGAGTTATTTGCTGCTGCTTCGGGATCGCCGGGAGCAATTAGGGAAGATACAGGGGGGGCATCTCCTCTCTGCACGCCAAACCCTAAACCCTAAACCCTAAACCCTAGGCCACAAACCCTCGAAGAGTTCTGCGCTGCAGTGCAGCAACTGACTCTGCTTGTCTTAGGGTTTTGAAATGATGGTTTAGGGCTTTCAGTCTAGGGTCTAGGGTTTAGAAGCCAGGGTTTAGGGTTTAGAAGCTAGGGTTTAGGGTTTAGGGTTTGCTGGGGCTTACCGGCACCACTTTCCGCAAACCCTCAAGATTCCGGGTGTCAGTCAGGCTAATCCAGTCATACCGATCTGCAGCAGCCACCCAAACCCTAAACCCTAAACCCTAAAACGTAAACCCTCGGAACCAGTAACTTCGAGGTGAACACCAGCCAAAAGTTTCTGCCCCTGAACAAAAGCTGTAGGGCCCAGAGGGCCTCAGCGCTCCAACCAAAGAATGCCTAGGGTTTAGGGTTTGGGGTTTAGGGTTTAGGGTTTAGTTACTTAGGCTAATGAGGGCGCTGCGGATATAATACCAAAGATGAGTTGCTGCAGGGTTTAGCTCGAGGGCCACCAAATAGTGCTGCAGGGCTTCTTCCATTTGCCCTGCGCCGCAAACCCTAAACCCTAAACCCTAAAC